CTTCCCTTTTACTTCTCTGGATACATTTCTAATGGAATTGTCACATTTTTGTATGGATCCTAACTAAAAGTTTATGAACTTCTGAAAGCCCTGAAATTACATAGGACAGGGGAGAATGGCTTCAGACTAAAAGAGAGTTTAGATTAGATAACAGGAAAAATTTTTTTACTGTGGGGGTCGTGAGGCACAGGCTGCCCAGAGAGGTTGTGGATGCCCCATCCCTGGAAATGTTCAAGGCCAGGTTGGATGGGGTTCCGAGCAATCTGGTCTGGTGGAGATGGCCCTGCCCACAAATGGGGGACTGGAAATAAATGATCCTTGAAGTCCCTTTCAACCCAGACTGTTCCACAATTCTGATATAAAAACCAAAACAAGAAATGTTTAAGAAACCAAAACAAGATATGTTTAAGCAGACCTCAAAAAGGATGAGATGGCACTTTCATATCAGTGTTTTGATCCCTCCAGAGTTTGGATGCAGCATGTATTATATGTCAGAGAATTTAGGCTCTCAAAATCAGCAAGTTTAGCCCCTTCTCAGGCAGGAATGACTCGAGGGATAAACTCTATAGTGAAGGATATTATGCTACCCATTAAGTTGGGAAGACATCAATATGTTTACAGGGAAGAAACAAGGGATGAATATTCTCTGTACATTATAATGTGTTCCAGAAATTTTGAATCAGTGTAGTGAACATGCCCAAGAAACATCACAGGAATCACTCCAAGTGACTTCATTGAAAAAGATATAGCTTTGTGGAAATGAGGAAGTAAGGTTCCTCATGATGCATTAGAGCAAAATACAAGGAACTCATTTTAGTATCTGAGGTTACCCTTGTGAAAAAAAATAATCTCTGATAAAAAAAATTCACCAGCATGAACCAATATCCAGAAAAAGCAGACAGTAATTAATTATTCACTCAGGATACAAATGTGCTGCCCAGAATCTTGAAGGAGAACAGAGAGGTAGATTTCATGCCTGCCATCCTTTGCAACAAGAGCCCAAACAACAGGCAATAGGAATTTCAGAGGAAAACAGTGTACAGGAATTCCAGGCAGTCGCAAAGAGCAGCTTTGAAAATGAGGAACATGGCAACATGAAAAATACCATGAAAGTGTTGAAATACAATCAGTGATAAAGCAGTATGAAGTAACACACAAAATCCAGAATTTTCATTATTTGTTGGAAAAAGTGAAGAGTAATGGAATAAAAAATACTGTCAGGAAATATATAAGATATAAATATATGAAGGCAATTACACCAACTGAAAGGAAGATTGGTAAAGAATGGGGGGGAAAACTAAGTTTTAAAAAATATATCCCTACAAAGCTCAACCTAGTACTTTAATGAGTTCTTCAATGCCGAAATTTCTAGAGGGCAGGAACAAATAGCTGTTTTCCAATTAATTATCTACAGGAAATGCAGCTTCAATGAGACTCTAGAATGATCAGAAATAATAAAGCATCCACTGTTGACAGTGTTTTCACTGAATTATTAAAAGAAACCATAAGGAAAAATTATATGCAGTAATAATGAGTAGCAATAGATTAAAAAATTACTAATTAATTCTGGCATCCTACACTTCAGAAATCAGGCCTAGTAAATACAAAACTGAAAAGGCATCTTCTCATTACAGCAGCTTTTAAAATTCTAACTGAATAAATAGGGGATGCATAACAGACAGTGACATGTATTAGTCCACTGCTAAAAAAGCTTTTAAATTCATAATGATTCAGGGAAGGTGAGGAACATGTCAGAATATACAGTCTTCACAAGAAAAAAAATCACAACAAACTAATAACTTCTGAAATTGTCCTTATATCATGGCAGGATATGAAAGAATCACTCTTATATGTTAAGACAGCACAGCTGCTTGTTTATGGAAATTGGTGTGTGAGAAAATGAAAATTAGCCTCATTTAATACCAGTATGTAAACAATGAGGAGGAATTCCCCATCCTTGATACTTTTTAACTGGACCATGAAAAAAATTAATGCCTTCATTATGTCATTTTCAGAATAGGATGAACCAAGCAGATTGAGCAATTCTTGCTGGTGAGCTGCTTGCTTTAGGGGTCTGAGAATACCCTGCAGGCTCCAGGAGAGAATAAAGCAAAGTATGACTTCAGATCTAGAGTGCAGCTGTTGGCAAGATGAGGAGATATTAAAGAGATTGTGGATCAGCCAACAACCTAAAAATAAATCAACATGTTAAACACCAAGAAGGAGCAATAATTCATACCAGATTGCAAAGAAGATTAATACAAAGGTTCAGACCAAGAAGGCAAATTATTTTCTTTTACATACAGGATGTGAGACATGGACACCTATGAAAATGGGAGGAAACAAAAGGACTTTAATTTAATAGGGCTCAAGGGAGGCAGGCTAAAGACAAGTTCCAGAACAACCTGGCGTAACATGAAGAACTGAGCCTGGAAAACATGTACAATCCTACCGAGTCCCTAGGCAAGAGTGACAGCCAGGGTAAGGCTAGACCAGCATCCCTGGGGTGCTGCGTGCCCCTTGCAACACCTGCAGACCCAACACAAACTGCTCTTGAAAGTAAAACTTACAAATAGGAATATCTGCTCCCTAGACTGGTTTCTGTTCTTCATGGTTTCAAAGGCAAGCCTAATAGACCAGAACTCACTGGATTACTTTACTCGCTTTAGGTCAAGTGTATGGATAAAGCAATCACAGAATGCCTGAGGATTTGACACTTTTTGCTTCATTAAACAAACTCAATTTATGAGGTCAGCTGAAAATAATTTCTGATATCCTTACATTTTAACTACAAAATCTGAGGGAGGCATTCCTTTGACCAGCATCCTGACACCTAGAATTTAAACATGTAGCTTAAGCTAGACATTCTTGCTTAGGGGAAGAGATGTCCCTCTTTAGTCAGCAGAAAGATGAGTAAAAGACACCTCCAGAGCAAGTCTAGTGCCAGCTTTCTCTGACATGACTGTGGCTGGTTAAATATTCAGTAATATATATGTGTGTATTATATATACATATATATATAAAATACCTAACATCTATATATAAGCAGGGCTTCCTTATAAAAGAGTCTTTCTTCAATTTAAACAGCATTCTAAATTCCAGAGGACTTTCTTGGGCACAATCACCTCCTAAACTGTGTTACTGCATATTGTTACAATACATTGGCTCAACACTGAAGTATCTACTATTCTACCATCAGACAAAATGTGCAGCTCTTTGGTTATCTGCAACAATAGCTTGTTCAATAACAACTTTTTGTCTGTGGTTCAGATCTTTTCTTTTTCTTATTTTTTTATTTTAGGAACTTTTAACTTTGGCATTTATCCGGTATCCTGTGACAAGACAAGACAACATTAAAAGCAGAACTGCAAATTCAGCTGAAAACAGACAGTTTTCCTTCCTGAACACAAGCTGACATTTTTCAGGTAAATTGAAAGCTAGTGCTAAAAAATTCCACAATCACCGCTTTTTTAGAAATCAGCAACTTATGTTGGCACCAAGGACAAAGCATTTTTTCCAAATGTAAAACTGAAGGATGCTGTCCAGCAAAAGATGCCATGTGAACTTTGTATTACTGGCTGAAGAGATTCAACCTACCTACACCGAGCATGCAGCACTGTTGTCATCAGATACAGTATGTGTCAGTGAATGCTATTTGATTGTGCCAAAATATGCAGCTATTTCTGCTACTTGTTCTCTTCCCACTCTTGGTTTCATTTATCTGCTCTCTCTAGTGCTTTAGACTTTCATCTGTTGAAGACTGAAAACTCTTCCTTATAAAAGTCTACCTGTGCAGATCCCTGACCTGGCTGGAGTTCTGAGACATCCAGCTAAAAAAAATACAACACCAGTAAATTACAATACCAAAGGTCTAAAATGGAAATTTAAGTGACACTAAATGAAAATTTAAAAGGTTGTAAAACCAAGTCAACATAGACATGAAAAAGAAAATGTGTATATATGTATATATTATGGGGGTTTTAAAGCAGTCATGAGGATTTTAGATGGAGGAATTACTGCTTCTATTAGTTTCTACTAAATCCAGCAGATAAATTTCACTCCATCAGACGCAAGAGTCTCCACTTCCCAATGTCCCTTCCTACTCTCAGCATGAGTTATCTAATATTATCTATTTCTAAAATAGGCTATACATCATTTTTGTAAAACTGGGCTGTTCCTTCACTCTCTGATAACTGCATGCTTTCAAATGGAAGATACTTTCAGCCACCTAGAGATGTGCATTAACAAAAAATACATTTCATCAAGACTCCAGTGGAAAAAATTTACTAGTATTTTAAACCTATTATTTCTGTTGATCGATAGAGTCTTGACTCCTGGAAATTCATAAAAGCAATAAACTGTATAAGCATTTAGAAGTCCAGAAGTAAGTCTATTTTAGGTCTTGTTAAAAAGGAAAAAAAAAAACCAAACAAACACAAACTCAAATAGACTGAACATCAGCCACAACATAATTTAAAATGTCTGATGAGAAAGTGGTTAATTACTTCTCTAATGGAATTTATTTTCTGCTTTAAGTCACTAAGTCAATTTGATGATATAATACACAGTTTAGTAATATTAAATATATCTTTGGAACAGAGTCTCTTAGACACTAGAACATAATATCTTACCAATTAAATAAGACTGCTTAACAGTGAAGAGGAGGAGGAATTTATTGAGTATTATGTAGTGGGTCTCCCTTGTGTTAGTCCTGTAATCTACATAAATTTCGGAAACATTTCACACCTCCATCAGTATCTGCTGAAGAACCAAAAGAAATCCAGGAATAATGTAACACAGGCAAGGAGTGAAACATACACTGTTCTCATCCAGCCTGTTAACATTTTCAATTTTCCTTTAATTCCAGGGTAACTGAAACAAAGATTAAAAACCAAGGAGGGATTAAAAGGTAATAAAGGTAATTTCTGCCATCCAAAAACTTGCAATTTCAGAAATGCTACTCATCACTAAGACAACGGTCCCCCCCACAATTAAGGTTGTTTTTCCTGAACTCCAACTTGAAAATAAGTTTTGTTTTGAAGCAGTATTCAGAGGTGAAAGCATTAGGATTCACCTTGGCTTCTGCTGGAACAGTTAAGTACAACACCAAATCAAAACATACTGACCTGCCAGGCTCCCAGTGTGAAGGGCATTTTATTTCTTTCCCACAGATTCGCTGTGAGAGTGAAGAAGTGGGCTGGAGTTACCTGGGAAAACCTCTCTGAACATTCCTCAGAGTGTGATGCCAACAGACACCCGGATGCAGCAGGCTGAACCCATCCCTGACACCGTGCTCTTGGTTACCATTCTGACTGAGTGTGGTTTCCAGATCCTATTATGAATTTTGTCTAAGTGAAAACTAATAAAATGTCTCTACTTTGTTACAGCACTGTCATAAGGACTGAATGTACACCTGTAGATATACATATGTATATATACATGTACAGGTATATCCTGGATAATGACGCTGCAGAAAAACACTTCACACTCTGGGACAATCCACTGAAGTTCCCAGACATCTGAACACTCAGTTTCAGCATGTTGAAGCTGCTTAGAAGTTCTCACTTTATAGATGCCCTAATTTTTTCATTGATATCAATCTACAAGCTTGCTTAGAGATTTGTGAGGGAAGGAGGGGCTTTGCCCCCTCTGATGTACCATTACTTCTTAAACATTTCAGCACATTTGCATTTTGTTTCCCCAGGTAATCTCACAAATTTGCTTGCTAAGCTCAAACCTGCGGAAAACCAAACACATTCCAACCAGAAGATTTAATGAAACAAGGAGAGCTAAATGGAGGCACACTGGTTCTGACACACTGGGAAGAACTATCAAATCCATCTCTAATATCAAATACTCTGCCTAGGGAGACATTACACAGTAAAAACACTTCCATCTGTTTAGGAAGAAAGATGTGAGATTATGGGAGATTAAAAGGGACCAAAAAGGGATTTGCTTTTAAGAGAAAGAAAAAGGAGTTCATAACATTGAGAGTATCACATAATAGGCACTTCTGCACAGAAATAAAAGCAAAATGCTGAGTTAAAAGCTCAGAGCCTTTGAACAGAATATCTAAAATATAATACTCATTTTTATTTTTAAATTGAGAATTTGAAAGAAGAGAAGCAATAAAATACTGTAAAATGTGGAAGGGAATCCACTAAAGGATTTAGACCCATTTCCTTTACAAATTGTTGTCCCAGCTTATGGACTACACACCCCACAACAGGCAATTTTAAGCAGGTCTTTATTGTATCAGTAAACAAAGCCAGGTAAAATCCACCCAGCTTCTCAGAGAAATATGTTACATTTGGAAAGCCAAAAAATATAAGAGAATAGTGTCTGATTCATGGAAAGACAAATGCACTGGGCTTTCTAGAGTCTAAAGCTGGAGGAATGAGAGAAGGCAAGGTTTCAAATTAAGAAATTAACAAACCTCTGGGTGGGGTTTAAATAGAAAAGAATGTTTCAGATGCATGAAAGGGGAGGGAAGTGTTTAAAATCAGGCTGTATATAAAACTCAGTGATAGACTAGGAAAGTATTAGAATATTGCCCAGCAAAGCTGTGATTCTCCACTTGCAGAGCAAACCAGATTTCTGTCAAAATGTGTAAGAATACCTTGTCTCACCCTAGAGAACAGGAATGAGTGATGTGGTTCCTTGATGCCTTTTCTAGGCCTGTTTCACCAAAGCCCTCACAACACAGGGATTCTTACCATCTTTTACTACCCTTCCACAGAATTTTCATAAGCCAGGGCCTGACAGATTCTGCCAACGTAAGGCCTGAAATGGAACTGACGTTTATGTTACATTAAATTATCCAAAATATTACATTAATTACTTAACCCTGTGTCCCCATGCAATGGACAGTGAAATCCTCCTGCCACCACCTGAGGCATAGAGAGAGCCACAGCGTTCTGAGCAGAGCAAATCCATGTGCTGTCAAGACACTGCTCCCACACAGAAAATACTCACTATTCCCTTTTGATTGGGCAACTGTAAAACAAGGAAACCAGCCAGACCAAAACCTCCTCTCTCTTAGATCCTGATGAAATTATAAACACCTCCTGTTCCTATTCTTTATGCTCATTTTGACTAGGGGCTTCTGTAGAGAGCAAGTTCTGGAGTTCAGTGAAGCCCCAGGTTTTAAGCACTGGAGATAGCACTGACTCTACCAGCTCTGGGTAATGCTCCATCTCCTGTCTCCACCAACATCACCCTTGGTCAGGACAAAAAAGATCTCTAGACTATGAGTAACGCTTTCCTCACATACGGCAAACATCTCACTGGGAGCCTGTCATTAAAAATCAGCTTTCCCAAAAGGATGGCATTGAACTTAGCAATCCAGTTAAATTTTTTTCTGATCCTACTTAGTCTGTTCTTCCTCTCACCCTCTGCAAACTTCTATTTAGTACCACAGTGTACAGTAGTGGGATTTGGGTTTGTTATCATAATCTTTGCAATTTATTTAATCCACCTAGAAACACGTGAAATTTATGTATAATAAAAATCACAGATGGGGAGTAATATTGTAGCTTCATTGAGAAAATAAAAATTTGAGCTAGTTTAATTAGATTCAGATATGATTATGGCATGAGTATTGAAAATTTTGATGCAGTCAGATTCAGGTTCATTTAATTCAGGCCAAGTGGAATGTGTCTACAGCACAGGGGAAATGTGAGTCACTGTGCTGCAGCACTGGGCAACAAAAGCTGTTAATCTAGCACCTAAAGAGCTGAGAATATCCAACAGACATAAGACTGACTAAATGGCTGCTGATGATTGGAATCATCACTGCTGAATGGAGGACCTTAAGTGCCCTCCACTCCCCAGTATTCTAGATGCAATTTAGGCTTTCACAGACTCCTCACTGTAATTCTATGCATATAAACTTGTGTTCAAGACTGAATCAGAGAAGGTTAAATACAAGTTCTGCTGCACTGCAGATTCCAGGGCAAGACTTTGAAATGCAGACCATTACTCTTTTGAGATCCCAAGATATTCCATCCCAATTCAATTTAAATTACACTGCAAGTAAAATACCCACTAATTTCAATGAGAAGCACATGATAGAAAGTCTGGGGCACATCTGGGCACACCCAAAAACACCTGAGCACACCCGGAGCTGAACAAAGTCCAACAAAGACTTTTACAGAAGCCAAATAATCTGACTCAAGTAATATCCTGCTAGAGCAAATATAATTGCTTAAATGTATGAAAAGGTATATGTACATAATGACTTGCAGGATTGAGTATACTTCTACTAAAATACAAAGAATGCAGCAGCTTCTACAGTAGGATTGGAAGTTTAGGTATGTATTAGTATTTTTTATCTTAAGCCTTTGTCACAAACTAAGGAAATAGGAATACTGAAAGATTTCTTCCTTAAAACCAGCACCAATCATATTGTGACCATCAGATATCCAAATGCCATGAGTCTGCAGTAGATCCCTAGAAGTTGGAACAGGCAGGTGGATATAAAATTATTAAAAGCTATAAAGGCTGGCAGAGTAAGCTATCTGATATATTTATTTTAACATAATACATGATTTGTGCAGATTAGATTGCAGAAACTCTTCTCCACATTTTCTAGAACAAATAATCTCTAACTCTGTATTGTGCCAGTATGCAGAGCAGTTTGAGGAAAATAAACAGAAGCTTGTTTCTCAGAGGTAAATTTTGCCTTATACTGGTTGCATTTATGTAAATGTCAAAACATATTCCTCAAATGTGAGTATGTTCTGTTTTCATTAGTCACTTAGAAGGAAAAGGGAAGCAAGTATGGACAATTCTTACAGCTTTCTCTTCCAGCTCCTCACCCCTTTAAAGCACACAAAACCAAATCCAGCTCTTGGAATACATTTGCAAATTTATTAGACTGCCTCTTCCAATATTTTTCATGAAACTACACTTTTTGTTAGACATTTCACACTGTACTGCATTTATAATTATTTATCCTGTCTGCATTCAGAATGTAAACTAATAAAATGTCTATTTTGGCCTATCAGATATCATACTATACAGATAAAGCAAAAAGCTATGGTATTATGAATAGCATAATTAAACTATGGGTGGAAAAGTCTGATATTATTTTCAATTATTTGTGCACCAAGCCTGGAATCTAATTTTGACAAAATTTGATACCAGTTATTTTCATTAATTATTCAATAGCAAGCTTCATTAGGCTTTTTGGAAGTAAAAACAGCAACAACAAAACCACAGAAAAAAAGAAAAAAGGGGTTTACACTAAATCACACTTTGCCTCTTGTAGTGAGATATCTACACTGCATCACTCTCTCTCTGCCTGGTGAGATTGATTGATCCTGCATTTAAGGTCGTTAAACTTTGTCATTCCTTTTCAGTGAGCTTGGGATAGAACCTTAATTGCCAAAGCAACAAACCTTGGAACTCTCCACAGTCAGTGATGGAATTTCTTCATGATTCCCATGAAGGATGGGACTGGTTTGTCAGCATGAAGTGTTTAAAGCCTTTATCAGAGGACAGCAACACGACTTCCTCCATTCAGAACAAGGCAACAAACACACTTCAATTAAAACCAAGCAAACAAAAAATAGAAAAAAATAAAAGAAAATTGTAACTAAAGGAAATTTAAATGATAGGCATACAGAAAAATAGACACAAATGAAAGGGAAAAAACAAACCCTCTAAAAGGCCTGTGAAAAGCAGAGAGAACTATAGGACAGGGTCAGCATGAACTTAGGCACTGCTGCTTTGAAAGCTCTGAAACCACAGCGAGAAATTAATTGAGTTTCCATGGAATCCCTGAATGCCTGAGGTGGGGAGAGCCCCTGGAAGTCATGATTGCTCAAGCAGGGCCACCTAGAAAAGGCTGCACAGCACCATTCCAGCTTTGTAGTGTCTTCAAAGATGGAGGCTCCACAACTTCTTGAGGAAACATGTTCTCACTCATCCACTGTCTTTTCAAATTAACATTTCATATTAATGCAGAGGAATCTTTCTTAATGACAGTAATGCTGACATTGCTTTATGTGAATGGGGAATGTCTCCTTGCAAAAAAAACAAATTATATAAAAAACAACAAACATGTTCTGAAACATTCCCACTTGCAATCAAAGTTTTTAATATTTATAAAAAACTGATGTCAACATTTTTTCCTAAATTATTACCTTAAAGTCAGAAATCACATTAAAAAAAGCTTTGTCTGTCATTGAACCAGAGAACACCTCTGGATGCTGGGGTAATGAGAATGTGAATTTTCAGTTAAAAATACATTAAAAAGAACCAAACTGTTTAAGTGTTAAATGTTAACATTTTTCATTCAGAGGCCACAGGAAAAGAAGAAAAAGTTCACAGGAAATATTCTGATCACCTCTAGAGCAAGTCAAGGACACTGTTTCTGACTCAGGTCCACAATTCTCACGGCACCTCCTCTCCAGGCAGGGTGCTCATGGTCTACAACAAGGACTTTGCAAGGGGTGAGAGTGGCTATTGATTCAGTCTGGGTTCTCTTCCTTATTTCTTCATGGTCAGAGCCATTTCCAGCATCTCTCCTTCCCTTTACCCTACTGGAGCTGGTCTAACCCAGTTGGTTTAGTCTCTAATAACAGACAGTCTGCACACAGAACATCTATGGAGGTTTGGCTTTGTTCCACAGTCTCTGTAAATTTTGTGCCCTACTGAAGGACTGTTGGGTTTCTCCTATCCCCACAACTATAGAGAATATTTCAGTTTTTATTTATATTGTGTCCTTTAGGTTAGCACACCGAGAATATGGGCTAAGGATTATATTTTCACAAATTTTCTACTTATGATTAAGACTTTGCATGTCTATTTATTCAAAATTCATGTTCAATTTCAAATGCTCAAGTTTGTGGAATAGGTTTTTTCTAACTTTGACAAGGAATAGTTTCTCTTTTGACAATAAACAGAAAAATCCTCATATTTTTCTCCTGTTTCTCTGATCTGCATCTGAAATAGAGTAACTGTCAAAAAATCATTTTCCCCAATACAAAATCCCACTTAAGCTGCAGTAGCCATCTTACTTTGCTGTACTGCTTATCTGCTTACCTGCTGCTAAGAGAAAGGTTTGTTTAACCTAATCCTCTCATCTTTGAATCATGACAGGATATCAAATCTCAAACCAGTCAGCTGAAAACCTGAAATAATTTAAAATTGGAAATGCTTCTCTGCATACATCATTTTCTCCTCAGAGATGAAGGAAAGACAGGCAGAAAGCCAGCCTTGTTTCTCACCAATTATGCCCAAGCTAACAGAACTCGAATGATCTCTCTATGGAGCACACAGGTAGCTGTGCTGGCTTTCTTACATACATTTCTGCAGTGAAGAAGACAGAATATTTTGTAACGGGAACTTAATACTGCCTAAAACATCGATGCATGTTTTTGCAAAACCAAAAAAGGCATAAAGATGTCAACAAAAAACACCATTTCTTAAAAAAGCTTATATTCAATCATTGTGTTACTTTCAAAGAATATGTGTGACAATGATAAGTGGCAAATTGTATTAGAAGTCAGCTGGGAAGTGTGATTAGGCAGTTAGAGGAGATTTTCCCATGAAATTGGAATTTAGAAAAGAAAAATAAAATAAAATAAAATAAAATAAAATAAAATAAAATAAAATAATTAGATATAGATATAGATAGCTATAGATATAGCTATAGATATAGCTACAGATATAGATACAGATTAGAAATAGAAATAGAAATAGAAATAGAAATAGAAATAGAAATAGAAATAGAAATAGAAATAGAAATAGAAATAGAAATAGAAATAGAAGTAGAGAGAGGAAATAAACAAACCAACATACATGAAATTATGCAGACTAAATCTAAATGTAACCTGGTTTGTGTTTGTAAAAGGTCAGAAAGGGCTTTCTATCTTTAATAGCAGTGGAAAGAGCAGAAAAAAGTAGGAGAGAGAACTTCAGGCTTTGTCTGGAGATGTGAGCTCTTCAAATTTTAACTGGACAAGTCACACCCAGAACATTTCTATGCCTCACGTGGGCATTACAGTCCCCTCCAGCACAGATATAACAATATCTGATACAAACAGATTTAACAATAATTGAGCTGCCCATCCCCTCTCCAGGTGTGGCCTGACACAGCCACAGTGCACGTCCCTCTCCGAGCATCCCTCCGTTCCATCCCAGCCAGTCCCTCCCAGCAACACCATTTTCACAGCTCTGGCTGCAGGTGATGTCAGGCAGTTCAAGCACAAAACATGCTGGAGAGGGATCCACACTTCAGGACAAAAGCCAGTCCTGCAGAGCTCTTAGGGCACAACTGATACTACTCAGATGTTTTGGGTGTTGACCAGCAAGGGCTCGATGGAATTTTAAAAATGAAAAATGGGAAGACAGAAAAACCCCAAATCCACAACATCAGCAGTTATGTCACTGAAGAGGGACAAGTTTTATATTTTTCATCCAAAATGCATAAACTCAGAAGAAGTATTCAACTGCTAACTTGCACAAGACTTGTCTAAATAACATTCCAATTTTGGAAACCTCCCTTTCTAATCCAGGGATGGCTTCATAGCTTCCTGCTTCACTGGGTTTAAAATTCTCTTGGTTGTAAAAATTTCTCTAAGCTGCTTCCCTTCATGAGCAATAGACTGCAGTGAAATCATTTCTCTGCAGTATTTTCTCAGTGAAAAGGTCCACAAATTGATTTTTCACCCTTTGTCCTCCCTTTTAAGATACAAATTCAAATATAAATATGTCAGACTATCACTGACAGTATATACATATTTTCCCTCAAGTGACTTCATAAAAAGGCAACATATACAAAGTATTAGACACACATGAATAATAAAACTTACATGAAGAACTTAGAGAAAAATTGTGAGCTTTCATAAAATTTCAAATAAAACCTCTCAAAATCTTGAACAGGAGATTTACTAAATTGGGAAGACTGAAAGTAGTTCTTCCCTCTGAAAATGATGGAAGGAATGAGATCTTCTGTTCTATGGGAATCCCAAACAACAAAACATTTCAAAACTGTATTGTTAACACTCTAAGATTTTTACAAATCTTCTTGCTCTATGCATGTTCCACACTCAAAGCACTTCATCCTGCCCCTATTACAGGAAAGAGGGCAAGCTTGGAGAAAAGCAGGGCATAAACTATTAAAACACTTCATAAATTTAACAAAATTCCTTGACTGACACCTTGAAGTGAAGCCCACAGGTAGAGTACATTCCCTCAAGAAAAAGTAGCTGTAGCTACTGTTGCATTCTGCTGAACTTCCTGACTGCAGCCTGGAGACTTGATAAAATCTGGTAATTAAATTCTTACTTTTAAGCTAAACAGCTATGACAACAAAATGCTTGGAGATATTTTCAACATACATGACATCTTTCTTCACAAAATGAACTATTTGTACTCAACAGCAAAAAAACACCACATTTAGTTCTGGATGACTGGCATCAGATAATTTATTTTAAAGTAAATGCAAAATGCAAATTAAGTTTCTATGTTATTTTTATAGCACAGAAGACATCCCAATTTTGTACAGCTTAAGCATCATCCTAGCAAAGGTGATTTGAAAATTGGCACTCTGTGCCCACTAACTTAGCTCTCACTGTGATTCTGGAAGAGTGACTGAACACACTTGTAAAAATGAGGTCATAATAAACAAATATTTGACATTATAGAGAATTGGTGTGACTTAATGCAGCATTTGAAAAGCCATTTGCAGTTCAGGAGCATTTAGCAAATGCTAAGCCACATTCTTCTCCTGTTCAGAACATGAAGGAGAGACCTGCAGTACTTGAGAAGAGAAATATGGGAAGCCACAGCTGTGGGCACCCACTGTTTCAAAAGTATCATGTACCATAAGAAAGTGGCACTGTGCATCTTTATGACCTCCTCTTTTTCCACCTGATTTTCCAAACAATTCCTTGTCTCAAAAAGAGCATTTTTTTGTAACCTGGAGTTTGCTGAAATATGCTCTGATTGCATTGTGGTCTGAGTTCAACAAATTTTACAATGTGGCAACTTATTAAGCTGAAATAAAGCAGTCATTTCAAACAAACATTCAATTACAGAAGCTAAAGACTGGATTTTATGAGGGTTTTTTCAAGACTGTGCATTTGCATATTTATTAATCTTAGATCAGAACTTAGAGCTCTGTCTGAACTCCAAGCTGTCAGACCTTTGATTCACAGTAAAGAGCTCTTTGGTCTCCTCACGCTTTGAACTGCAATAGCAAAACTGAAGATTTCACTGGGATAGTTCCTTCCTCTCTTCTTTGAGATTAGAAAGTTATTTCAAAACTTTCTTTTTTTTTGGTTTTTTTTTTTTTTTTAATCCTTATTCCTCTTTAAAGCTAACACGGATGTAATCAAGAAAATGTTGATTTTGTTTGCATGCTAATTCCCCTTGAAATACCTGTCCCAGTAGAGAAATGCCTTAAGAATAATATTGAACATCTTTCATTGTGAATTAGGAAAAGTATTGCAACTGTATCAGCTGTCTTTAAAAAATACTCCAGCTTGTGGGGATACAAATCCTTTCTGGCATGTAAATCAATAAATACAGAATTCTCCCCAGGAAGTTTAAGGACTCCATAGTGCTCTGAGGCTCTAAAAAGGCTGTCTGATTTCCACATTCAATCCTTCGGGAACAGAAATATAATCCTTTATAAAACATTTAGTATTCCTTTAGTTCTGGTCCAAGATTCTGATGGGAATAGCATTGAGGAGCCTTGCACACACTTCCCTGCACTTTGCTCGTGCACTGCCTCATTCAGATTTCTCTTTTGTTGGCAAACTTCAGTAGCCAAACCTTTACCCTATTAATTAATTCAGTGTGGTTTCTGCAATATCTCTGGATGCCAGCNTGTTAAACCCTTGAAAACATTTCCCCAGCACTAATTTTCACCATACTAATTTTCATTTACTTCCTATGGCAAATAACCAAGCTGCTGATCTTTACTTCCACTCCCCTCTATCAATTATTTTGACTCCAGGACACCAAAGGCTGTGATTTAGAGGCAAGGGGAGCATATTAAAAACATGCACAAAGCCTGTTTTCAAAGTGTGTGCTCAAACCAATACTCTATAGCCAAGCCCAATACTCTATAGCCAAGCATTCTTTTAATCAGGTGAGAAAAACAGGAAAAGAAGGAGGCTTTTTTTTACCAATTAACCAATTAAGAATTAACCAACGCTATTCAGATACTGAATGATCGTTGCTATACATTGAAAAAATTGCAAACCAGACCTTATTCCTTGATATAGGTAATTGTCATCGAAAAATTGCTAATTTCAGAGAAATACCACACTTCTATAAAGTGCAGACCAAGGAAAATGATGTTACATTAATTAGCTATAGGATAAGGTATGAATTATTTACCAAGCTTGATTCACATGCATAGTTCTTAACAGTCAGGCATGCAGATCAGATCAGATAATTCCACACAATCATATGATTACTAATTTCATATCCAATTACTTCATCAGTGTCTGTAATTGCATTACTTAGAGCTGCAGATCTGATAATATTCTTGTTTACGTGTTCTACAGACAGCTAGTAGATTTTTGGAGTCTATGTAGATACTCTATATATGATTTTAAACCCCAATTTTTATACTTCAGATACAAAGATAAGGCCATATGCTCATAACAAAGGTTTTCATCCAACTGTAGAAGAATATCTTCAGCTTCTATCTTCCTCTGGTTCATAAGGCATAAATTGCACTGTGTCACAAATCAGAGGGATTTTTCAATGACAGAAAATATGTTTCAATATTTGTTTAATAGAGGGTGTACAGCAAATGCAGAGTACCCTTTTACTTAAGTCCTAACCATTGCCACCATTAAGCCTTAAGTATCAATCAAATTGCTGCTGCTGCTATACTTGACAGATGCAGGTAGAAACTTAAGAAAACTCTATTCCAATATTCAGAATTTCTGCTGATGGTTATCTTCAACACACTGTTCTGATTTGCAGTTTCTGTGACTACTGGAGCAGCACTAATATCTTCAAATTAAAAGGAAACAGAATTCAATTTTGACATTTAAACAAGAACAGGCACAATTTTCTTTGAAAGCTGTTCCAGCAGATAGAGCATATATACATCTACATATATATCTCTATTTTAATGCAAAAAACACAGCCATATTTATTCCATTTCAAAGATTTAACAAAGCAGAGAAAAGCACAATTAATTTAAACAACATATTTTTTATGCATTAGGAAATTGTAGTACTGAAAGTACTGTACTTTTACCTTTTAAAACTATTCACTGCAAACCATGTGAATTTATTTTGAATTAAATAAAGCAATGAAAAAGAGCAGCATAAATATGGTATTTCATTCCTATACATCCTATATGATGATGAGGCTTAGGATCTTTTTTTTCCCTGTATACTTACACCTGTTATTTAATTTGAACTCCCTGAACCTAATGAAGGAAGCACAAATATCTATATGGCTGTTGTAAGATTATGACTCAGTGTATTGATTTCAGTGGTACCAGTCATACATTTGTGTGATGCCTTTTCTAGTAACAACAGTTCCCTTAAATATATTGTGGTCTTAGACACAAAAAGTTTAATGGCATCAGAAAAGCACACTACCAAAATAAGCAAAGTTCATCATGGCCACTGAAGGTATTTGTCATTGAAGAAATTGGTTATTTTTTGTGCTGCCTCTGCTTCGCTTTAGCCTTACCCCTTGATGGATGTCCCTGCTGTGCCCTCGAACAGGGCAGCTGCTGCTCAGGGAATGAGCTCTGGGTAACCACAGAGCCCCCAGCAAAGCACCTCAACATCCTTGTTCCATGCCAGCTCACCTGCCCACTCTCCTTTCAAATACTGAGGGACTGGCATAAAACACATGTCTGTAAAATCAACATTTTTACAAGACACTGCTATTCTGCCAGAAAAATAATAGCTGGGCTTAAAACTGAGTACTGGAAAATACACTGGGAATTTGTTTTCTGATTTAAATCAAAACATTATTGAATCCATCCTTCTTCTAGTAATTCTATTATCTCACTATTTCTTTCTGTTAAATTATTTCTCTTCCTTGAAAAGGAAATTTGTATTTCCTGCTCTTCAGAGGGAGCAGGAAATACAAAAAACATCTTGTCAGGCAGAGTGGAAGAATATTGTAATTTGTTTCACTTGTGTAGCTATGTGGAGACAGCCTTTCTTAGCTTCCTTGGCTGTCCCAAGGAAGAGAAATATGAAGGGCAGTCATCCCAAAGGAACAGCCACATCTCATTTGGAATCACTGTTCCATATAATGGAACACTTCAACCAATTGTTCTGAGATCATTCCTAAGCCAAAAAAATAAATAAATTAATAACAGATAACAATTAGCATGTTAGTTAGGAAACAGAACAGTAGAACTCACATACATCACAAGAACTTGTATGTGTACTTAAGGCCTTCCATCATCCACATTAATGGTAAATGCTTCAGACCAAGTAGCCTACATTTTATCTGTTTTTGTCAAAATTAATATAAAACTCCTCTGCTTTACATTTTTCTCCCTCTGCCATCTCCCCATCATTTAATATCCAAAACCAAGCACAGACTATATGATTCCAGTCCATGTTTTTCTCTCATGTGCTACTTCCCACTTGGTGCTGGTGAGATAACATTCAGTCAATTCTTTTTTTTCTGGACAGCAAACTCAACGAGAGCCTCGGAGCATTCTCTCCACTTTATCATCTCCATCCATCAGCCTTATTCCAACTGAAATGGAAAAGCAGCACTTAGCAAGAACCGTCCATAAACTCTTACCCCTTCTGTAGCTGCTTGGAGAAGAAACTCTCTGCAACTGACATTTGTGGGCACAGTATGGGTCACCACAGCCTCCACAGACACTGAAGTCTTTTTTTCCCAACAAAAACAGAAGAAAGAGCTTAATCAATGAAATTTCCATGGTTTTACAGATAATTACAAATATGTTCCTATGCTGCCATCAACGACAATCAAAACATGTACTACGTACATCTGCATATGAAGACTGAGTTAACAGGGGCATTAAGACTGAAATGTTAATCCTTTTTCTCTGTGTAATTCACACAAGTCATAGCAAAATCCACACCTTTCAAACTGCTCACATTGAGCTTTTGAGCCTCAATCCAGCAAACGCCCAATGACAACAGAGAACTGAGCCCTTGATTTTAGGTATACACATTAAATATCTTTTGTTGGACTGGAAACTTGTAACTTACTTTTGTCAGCAAAATCCCTTTCACTGGTTTCAAATAGCTCTTGGACCTGGCAGTTCTTTGGAGAATGAAGCAGATAAGGGTTATCACTTGCTCTGTGGAAGAGGGCTGCTGGGTTTGCCTGTATGACATGTAATACACCAACCCAGTTAACACTGATTATGTTTCCAAGATACACACAAACATTTTGTTGGCATGGGCTTATCTCTGGCTCAAGGCCTAAGTATAATTATGGCTCGAGGCTAGAAATAGAAGAGCTGTCTTTGAGCATTGCAATGGAAACACAGTGAATAAGAAGGCAGAAATCTTGACAAATATGAAATACAATAACTTGTCAGGCAATAATGGCACATTGTAAAACATGGCATGACTTGTTAATATAACAGCTAATGGAAGGTTTTATACAGCAAAGTCCCTTCCTCAGGAGTCAAATTTTGTTGTACACAATTAAATCAAGGAAAATTATCACCACCATCTTGAGAGTGGTAGAGAAGAAAATACAAACCATCCTCAGAATTCCGTCTTCCTAAACTTATCAGGCTTTTCTTATAAAGAAATCCACACAGCTTGTTTTAATCTATTTACTTATTTGTTCTTGCAAAGAAAAAATGGATGAAAACTGTTATCTAGAGTGCCATATCAAATCTTCAGAATTTGGATGGATTCAGAAAAATCCATCCAGCTTATCTAGTTCTACTGAAACACTTTTTATTGCTCTGAACATAGAAAAAGGAATTTCTGATTAAGGGAATTCTCATGAGATAGTACAGAGAGCAGAAAGATCTTGAAAGTCCAAAACAGATTATAACTCTACACAACCAATTCATAAACTGATAAAGCCATTCCCACATGAAAGTGTATTTCAACAGTCCAGAGGGGTTATCTACTCCTTCTGAATAATCTAACATGCAAAACAAATTTGGGAATTATGGTAGTGGGATTATGCCATTTTGAACTATTAAGTAGGAGAAGATACAAATTTATCCAATTGTGGTACACAAAAATTATTGCTAGTCTATTTAGGACAAGATCTAACTCAAAATCCAAAAATCACAAGAATTTACAGCTACTCCAACTGACTGAATTCCTGTAACCTTTCAGGTTCTGCCAACTGAGCAAGCCTGGGTGTGACGAGGTTTCTTGCAAGTAACTACTGATATTTCTTCAGCTGCATTACAATCTCTTAGAACCTGCAGCTGATGTTTGTTTCTATGCTGTGATCGGGCTTGCTGCTTGTACTGTCCTCTGCATTCTGAAGCCTGTGTCCTTTGTCTGTGTGTCAGAGACAAATGGTGCAGTGCTATTGACCTTCATGGGGAACAGAGCAAAATGGTCAGCAAATCCCACATGATGGTTACAGCTGGAGGCCAACTGGTTTAATGAATTGTTCCTCTACCAGTGATCTATCAAACACAATCTGCTTGCTACTTTTGGTTCAAGAAACCCTTCCTTGGCTACCTCAGTTACAGAGTGACTGAATTAGAGTATGTTTATTGCTTCGATGATAAAGTTGAAAACTGAAGGCAAGAAAATAGAAAGCAAAAATGGAACTTGAAATGTTTTCATTTCCTTTTCACACACTAATCACATTGCTGACCCTGAATCTGTTTTTTCTACTTTTTCCCTCCTTTCTTCTTTGATTTCTGTGGTCTGATTTCCCAAATAGCTATTTTTGACAAGACTGAGTGTTTTCTAGTTTCTCTTTCCAGGAGCCTTTTCTGCAAAATTAATAAGGAAAAAGCAGTGGGGTGCAATCATAACACACACAGGGGGAAACAGAGACCAAATGATAAATCCTTGAACTCAAGGAATCCACAAATCCCTGCCCAGGTTTCCTTCTTAATGGCATTTAAGACTAAATTAAAGTAGAGCTGAGAAATTCCAAATTGTTCCCACTGTCATTTAGTTGAAGAGAGATGAATACTTTCAGAGTAACACCCTGTCTCTGGCTCTATTGCAGATGCCAGAATGGCAAACCCAAACAGGAAGCCAGGACCACTATTAGTGACAGATGAACTGAGGACTTCCATCTAAGGGCTTTCAAGAAGCTCCATAAAACATATTCTCTCAATAAAACTGTACTTAAAAATAGAGCAGAACTTAATAGACCTAGAAAAATATGCTTGCAACAATTATTTGACAGGTTGTTTTTATTTCTCTCAGAGGAAATGTATGAAGTTTATTTGGTTTTATATTCACCAGTGTTAATCATGAAAATAGTTCCATCAGATTTGTCAGCATACAAAGTCCATATTGTGTAATTTATGGAAAGATCACATGATTCTCATGCCAGGAGTGATCTCATCTCAAAATAAGTATTTTGAGTGATCCCTGTTTCTACTGAATCTTTTTAAGAACACCGAGGGAAGCTCTCTGTCTATGTAACTGGGCACAATACCAAATGTCAGTGTAACCTTTTCCACTTACACCACCAACCTCAGAGAGTGGCCCGAGCCATCAGGTTAATTTTAGCTATAATGCTGCATATTACAGGTCCAGAACAAGGTTTACATGAGATTGAACAAAACCATGAAATGAAAAGCCACTTGAGATTACTGAAACTGTATAAATGAGGCAAACTGCTGAAGACAAAGGAGTCAGAGAAGGTTTTACTGCAGGCTCTGCTATTCTTGCAGCCTTCAGTTTTGGTCACATGTGCACATATCCATGAACACAACAGTGGCATCCTTATGTTCTGAAATGGCATGGAGAAAGTATTAAAACATTGCTCCATTTTGTCAACTCAATAGCCATCACTGAATCTCCAACTCAGTAATCTTCAGCATCTTACTCCCTGATCTCCCAAGATTCCAGATTCAGCTAAAGATGTAGACACTTTTATTCAGACCATAAGAGATCCTAAAGAATTTTACCATTTAAGCTTAAAGCACATAAAGCTTGTCTTACTGCTCTTTTCCATGTTTTATTTTCAACTGGTGACCAGAAAAATTTCCCAAGTATTTACTGAGGAAGAGACACATCACCAAAACCTAGATAAAATATGGATTTCACTGATGAGATCTATTTTTATAAAATTCAAATTATTATGTCTGCAATCCCTAAATTATTTCAGGAAAAGTGCCAACATCATAAAATGCAGGAAACAATAATGAGGAGCCCTCTTGCCTCTGTGGTAGCACCATAAATTATTTTTGATGAATGAGGCAGGCTTCCAAAACTTCCATTCGGAAATCCAAGCCAATACTCAGACTGAATAAAATCAAGCTTGGCTCAGTTACAGCCTGGGGAAAAGAACCTTCAGTTTCCCTTTCCTTTCCCAGGACAGTTTTGCTCAGCAGCAAAACCCAGAGGACCCGGGCTGTGAGCTCCCAAAGCCATCTGCTCTTGAATCATCTCTGAAAACCATCTGAGTACCTAACTAACTGCTTTTCTCTTTTAGGCAGCTTCCTGTTCCCAGATTTCTTCAGCTTTTCCTCCATGAATATATTTAAATCTAAGCAGCTATTCCATGCCTTTCTTGCCTTTACTTTGTGTTTTAGCAATTTGCAGGACAGACAGATGAGCTTTTTTCTTTTAAATAAGAGCTGCCAATAGTACATGTTTAGAAAGAGAATGAAAAAAGCTTGTGTTGTTCACGTCAAACAAATGAGAACAAAAAAAGGGCACATCCCCATTTGTTTCTGCCACAAGAAAGACGAGACACAGTCTCTTAGAGATGGAAATAAACCTATTACTGTGACCTTTTGTAAGTTCCCTCACTTCAGTCACTGGTCATTCCCTCTTTTTCACATTTACAGTATCAGTAAGTAGCACAAGAACACGTGAGCTATAGAAATACAAAACAGCCATTCAAAATACTGAACGCTAATCTTTTTTATATTTATGTTTACAGTCTGTAAGAACTTCACAGCTCACCACTGGTTCTGACAGACGGTCGCTTTCTTCTACATTTTTTGAAGCAAATCATCAGGAGCAGCATCTGGGCTTTTTGGCTGTACCTTTGCCCTGCAACACCTGTCTGAGCTGACATCCTGCTCAGAAGGAGCACCAGTTCCCACTGCAGATCTGCCACACCAATGGAACAGCAAAAGAGGTCGATTTTGCAACGTGTACCGGGAACATAAATTAATTATATGACTTACTTAAATCTGCATTGTTTCTCTACAATTGTGGCCTTGGTGCAATCATGAGATAATGACACACAAGTCCTTCAATTCACTTTTTTGCTTATCTTGCTATCTGGTGACATTCAAATAAATTATTTTTTTTCATTGTTACAATTCAACTTACGAAGTTTACGTATTGCTGTTATCCTTTAGTTCCCCACTGCTGTTAAACTTTCAATATATGTGAAAACAGATGTTATTTGCTCAGCCCTTTGTACCTCTAAATTCCTAACTGAAAAAAATCTGAAGACAAAACTAAACCTATGGGTTTGGCTACAAATAAGCAGAGACTGATCTACAGTATGAAATAAGAGGTACGAAATAAGAAGCTGATATTCAGTGTCTCAGAAGTGCATCACGACCACTGACTCACAAGTCAAAAAGATGGTAAATGTCTATAGTTTTTGAAAAGTGTAAATTGATTCAGTTCTGAGCACCCACTGACAGTTTCAGTTAAATAGATATGATCATAGAATAGAAATGGATCCACTTCAAAGAGCTTAGGGAAAAACATAAAACATATCTCAGAATTATTAGGAATTTCAGACTGAGAAGAAAACTTCAGAACAGTTAGGGATAAACTACATTCTTCGGTGAAAAAGCAACCCCACTTATATCATTAGCAATGTGTAAACATCAATAATGTCTCTGGATGTTGTATATTGAGTTACAGGAAGCAGGGGCAAATAACAGCACTTACTCCTCCAGATGTGCACTCATGCACATACATTTTCTTCCCTGTATTATCCTGAGTTCAGACAGGCCTATGGGATGTGTCCTAAGATCCAAACAATGTGCAAGTAACTAAGCTGTCACATCAAATATGAATGTTTTCATTTCTCAGCAGTGCCAGGAAAAAAATGAAAGATTCCTGGTTAGGTTCATATTATAATATATAATATATATAATAATATATTAACCCAGTTAATATGGTGGAAGCACACTAAAGGATGACTGAGGTGACAGGAATGGTGGTAGAGAAAGAAGGCATAATCTGTCTCAGAAAAGGCATTTTCTATCAGTATCATTTGTAATTGGATGGCTCCTTTCCGTATCCAAAATAATACTGCACACCCTAATGAGAAGAGCCATGGAAGTGACTCCCTGCTACTATGGCTCTGAGGGAAATTAATTCTTTCCATGTTATATAGAGAGAATTGGACAGAAGCATTTCTTTAAACAACAGGAAAGTGAAGATATATGCTGTTTTTAAATGTATCCCAGAAACCAGGAATGGCTGTGAACACAGAAACTAAATTCAAGGCTTACATAAAAGCTTTTTCATAGCTGTGTATTTCCTTTGTAAAAGTTTAATGCACATAGGACAGTATTCCAGACCTATTGCTTCGTTGCCATCTCCATCCCTCAGAAAATAAGGAATAGAACCCACCTCTTGAAAAGGTGTGAAACAGGCTCCTTTTGGC